AGTTCCTGTGCGTGCACAGACACACACAGACACACAGATTGAGATAAGATTGTTTCCAAACTCATCCTTTAGCTCTGAGCATCTCTACCAGAAAACTCCTTATAAGTTACTTCATTTCAGCACCATCTTTACTGCACCCAAAACATGATTCATTGCTCTTGCTGAATCTGGAAGAAGGGCCAGGAAAGGCCGTGATTACATTATTTGTTTGCTTCTTTGTTTATTTCCTGCCTTTATTATTTTTATAAATAACCCAAGGCACTGAATAGAACTCATACTCTTTCCTCCTATTTTCCCTACGACAACAACCCTTTGAGGTGGGTTCGCCTGAGAGAGAAAGTCACTGGCCCAATGTTATCGAGCTGGCTTTCATGCCTAAGGTGGAACCAGAACTCACAGTCTCCTGGCAATTGGCCCAAACTTATCCAGCCGGCTTTCCTGCATAAGGTGGGACTAGAACTCACCTTTTCCTGGTCATTGGCCCAAATTTACCCAGCCAGCTCTCATGCTTAAAGCGGGACTAGAACTCACAGTCTCCTGGAAATTGGCCCAAACTTATCCAGCCAGCTTTCCTACATAAAGTGGGACTAGAACTCACAGTCTCTTGGTCATTGGCCCAAATTTATCTAATGAATCATGCAGTCATTAAACTAACCCAACATCCCCATTGGCTGTTGGCTGTGGGGAGCCAGCAAGGAAGGTCGCAAACTGCAATTATGTGATCCAGGATACTGCATTGTAGATGAATGAATTCAATTCAATTCAAACTTCCTTGAATTCATTCATTGGATTCATTCAATGAGCCAGCAGTGTGTGGTGGCAGCTGAAAAAGCCAATGCAATCCTAAATTGCATTAACAGAGGAATTCAATCAAGAACAAGTGAGGTACTAACAACACTTTATAAAGCCTTAGTAAGACCACACCTAGAATGCTGCATTCAGTTTTGGTCACCACATTAAAAAAAAAAAGATGTTGAGACTCTAGAAAAAGTGCAGAGAAGAGCCACCCGGATGATTAGAGGACTGGAGGCTAAAACATATGAAGAACGGTTGTAGGAACTGGGCATGGCTAGTCTAGTGAAGAAAAGGACCAGGGGAGACATGATAACAGTCTTCCAATATTGGAGGGGCTGCCACAGAGAGGAGGGGGTCAAGCTATTTTCCAAAGCNAATGCAATACAGGCTCAGTTTCTTAATATACTGTTATAAGAGTACATGGGCGTAGCTTCCAAAAATCTAACCTCTTGCCTTTAATTTTCCATCTACCAGAAACTCAAATACAGTTTTATTTATCTTGCTGCTTGGAGAGCCATGGTAGTATTAAGTAGAAAGAACACAGCCTTGGTTTCCTCCCTTCTTTTTTTCTTTTTTTTAATGTCTCAATTTTAATGGCTTCCCTCCCCCCCAAATCACTACTTAAATAGATGCTCTCTGTATCCCAGAAGCAAAGAACAAAATGTATTATTAAAATGTACCCGTTAATACAACAAGGAATGTAAGTCTATTTTAGGGTTTACTGACAAATGTGCGCATGACAAATGCGCGCTGACAAAACCACGGCGAGAAAACAGCGATGTCGAAATCGCGCCCACAACAGCGCGCCGACAAAAGCGCGCCGACAAAAGCGCGCCATCAGCAAACAACACCAAAAAAAAGTAATAACCCTAAACCTAACCCTAACCGTAACCCTAAACCTAACCCTAACCCTAACCCTAAACCTAACCCTGAACCTAACCCTAAACCTAACCCTTACCTTAACCCTAATCGTGCTTTTGTGGGCGTGCTGTTGTGGCCGAGATTTCGACGTCGCGGTTTTCTCGGCGCGCTTTTGTCGGGTCACGTATTTTAGAACAGAATAGAATTCTTTATTGTCCAAGTGTGATTGGACACAAGGAAGTTGTCTTTGGCTCTCAGTGTGCATAAAAAGAGAAGATACATTCGTCACAAATCATAAGGTACAACACTAAATGATACCATGTTTCCCCAAAAAATAAGACAGGGTCTTATTTTCTTTTGACCCCCGAAATAAACGCTTGGACTTATTTTCGGGTGTGGTGGTGGTGGGGGTCTTATTATTTTTGAGATGCAGGAGGCAGCCAGCATGGTCACCTCATGGCTGCTGCTGTGTACTGTTATAAGTCGAGAAATACCTGTGTGCAGTTGAACAGACTAATAGGGATTGCCAAGATTTTTAAAAAAAGCAGAACAATTTCTTCTAATGCTTCTGGCTTATAGTTGAAAGGAGAAAATGGAAACCAGAATGACTCCTTTGAGGAATCAATCCGATTGTCCTTAAACACAATATAGAATAAAATTCTGCAAACAGGAACGTGAATTATTGAAATAGCTGATTAATTCGATTTTTAAAAGGGGGGGGGATGCAACCAATGATTTTTTTTAAAAAAAAGGATAATAGAGGACAGCCATTGCTCTGACGCGGTGGCTCAGTGGCTAAGATGCTGAGCTTGTCGGTCAGAAAGGTCGGCAGTTCGAATCCCTAGCGCCACATAATGGAGTGAGGTCCCGTGACTTGTCCCAGCTTCTGCCAACCTAGCAGTTCGAAAGCATGTAAAAAATGCAAGTAGACAAATAGGAACCACCTTTGGTGGGAAGGGAACAGCGTTCCGTGCACTTTTGGTGTTGATTCATGCCGGCCGCATGACCATGGAGATGTCTTCGGACAGCGCTGGCTCTTTGGCTTTGAAACTGAGATCAGTACTGCCCCCTAGAGTTGGGAATGATTAGCACATATGTGGAAAGGGAACCTTTACCTTACTGCTCTAGCAAATTATGTCTAGGGGAGGAGAAAATTGCTTATAAACCCATGGGGAAGTCATCTAAATATAGTTTTCAAACAGCTTTGCATTTTCAACATAATTTCATATTTCTTTATATCAAATTTATTGAGTTACCTTCCTTTCTCCAAGCCAGATAAGGTCTGTGACTGTAAATCCTCCTTTGAAAGACTTTGCTGGCTGTGAACGAGCAGAATTCACTGTAAATTAATAAAAGGGTTTTTTGACGGGACAAGGAGTTTGCTTCAGGCTCTTGGGAAACCTCGGTCAGAACACTCCCAGTGCTTGGGACAAGAATATCTGAGCCGCTTCTCAGATCCTATCTTTTAATTAATCGTGGGTATAGAAATGTCGGTGCTTTGAATCTGTGTTGAATTGATAAGGCTTCTACTTTCGCCGTGTTTCCTGGTTCATAGAAGCAAAATGGGAGCCTTGGGAGAAATCGTTTGTATTACCCTACAAGGCTGCAGAAATGCAGAGGTAGGGGTTCCCCCCCCCCCTCAAACTTCACATCAACTATTTCACAAATTATATATGGAGGTTCCCATAAATTTACGTCGTTTTCAGAGTAAGGACACATAAATCATTCTTCGCTTGTCTGATCGTTTTGATAGGAATGGGTCTGGGAAAGGAATTATAAAATTCGAATAGGGGGATGTGAAAAAGTTCTCTTCGAGTGATGTGGAAGCACACGTCATGGGGATCGTAAAATAAGATGAAAATGGTTTTCTCACCCAGCCAAAAGTTTATGTAATTTTGCAAACTATAGATATGACAGAAGAAGCTAATATATTTGCTTTGTCACCCGTATAAAATCCTTAAAGTCTACACGCTCTGTTCTATTGTATATCTCTCAGTCAAACAAAACTCTCAAGGTATTTTGGAAGTTAATTTGCAATACTCTCCCCAGTGTATTTCCAGAAAGAATAATGTCCCCTGTCTTCTTACTTCCTATTTTAAAATAATCCATCCCATTTGATGATGGAAGAATTAACTGGTGATTGTATCAATTCTGCTCTGTGTGTATTTGGAGGAATGATGACTGAGGAGGGAGAGATTAATTGAAGGCTGTAGGAGAAGTAATTAGGAGTTGAATGTCAAAGGGTTATAAAGAATGGTAGTTTAGAGAGAGAGAGAGAGAGAGAGAGAGAGAGAGAGAGAGAGAGAGAGAGAGAGAGAGATGACAGATAGATGATAAATAATGAGAGAGAAATAAATGATAGATAGATAGATAGATGATAGATAGATAGATAGATAGATTGATTGATTGATAGATAGATTGATAGACACAGACAGACAGACAGACAGAAGACAGATAGATGATTGATAGAGAGATAGTGAAAGAGAGAGGACAGATGATACATAATGAGAGAAATAAATGATAGATAGATAGATAGATAGATAGACAGACAGACAGACAGACAGACAGACAGACAGACAGACAGACGATTGATAGAGAGAGAAAGAGAGCGAAAGAGAGAGAGGACATATACATAATGAGAAATAAATGATAGATAGATAGATGATAGATAGATAGATAGATAGATAGATAGATAGATAGATAGACAGACAGACAGACAGACAGACAGACAGACAGACAGACAGACAGATAGATAGCTGGATAGATAGATACATTAGATAGCTAGATAGGTAGATATG